GCAGGTTACCTCAAATCAATGGATCCGTGGAAAATATGCATTTAATTAATGTTCCGCTGTTATTCTTATATCACAAACCTCTGTCAACAATTTTAATAGAAGTCATTATCTAAATTATGTCTTAAGGGACAGAACTTGTGTGCTTTTTTTTCCTCTCTCATTCGCGGTTAATGTGCACGTGCTGCGTGTGATGAAAGACAATGACAAGGCTCATGTGTTGACTTTTTGTAAAGTATAGGCTACTATAGCATAATTTAGTTGATTACATATGATACTGCATTCATTTGCATACATGTTTTTTAAGCCAATCGTTAGTTATCATTATGCAAAAATCAAGAAAATCTTTGGATTTGAAGAACTTTTAATAACTGTAATTTTCCAAATAGTAAAAAAGGGTGGTTTGTTGATTATACAGTTAATCATCACAACTGAAACCTATTAGTTGTGTTTATGAGTGGTGTTGGAGTGCGCTTTTATGGCCGGCTTGTTTCCAAAGCATACAGTAGCACATTTCATACAGTTTTGCTTTGTTGCGTCTTTCTCCAATTGTAAAAATAAACAATAGTGTTTATGACGCCGATCCTGGACAGAGGCAATCAGCATCAGCGCTGGTTTGGCATCAACTCGACTGTAAAACTGACCAGCAATAGTCTCCTTTCCTTTTGCTTCTCTGGCAAAATATTAGGCACCTGTGGTAGCACCATCCCACAAGTTAACAAATATGTGTTTCACATTTATGCAACCAATTAAAAAAATAAAAAGTTAAACTGATACCATTAATCGGTTAAAAACTGACCCTTTCGGATAACGATGAATCTTGTATTATGAGCTTCCCTAGTCTTTATTTGATATATTCATATCTGAAAAAGTTTCTTACCAAGTCAACATTTACAGTTCAAATCACCATTTGTGTTTATTGGCCTATGTATTGGTTATCGGCTCCAAAAAACATTCTATAAAATTCTAAAAGTTATCGAAACAACCAAAATAACCATATCAGTGCATACCTATTACCTACTTTTCTTTAACCTCACAACAAATGTACATTTATGGTTTATTCTTAATAAAATATGTTAATACATTCAGTTAAAACAATATATTAGTAATACAGAAATGCTTTTTCTAAATTTTTGAAGACCCCAGCCATGTTGATGATGATCAGATGTTGTTGGAAAGCATTTTATTTTCAGAGAGCTGTCATGAAAGTAGAGGGATTTGCTTTCAAATTGTAGCCTTAAGCTCTGCGTTTCTCATTAATTGCCATTGAAGGGCTTCTTTAAAGACACCACAGCTTATTTTTGGGTACATTTGGGAGTGTGTTGGGGAGGGAGTGTTTGTGCTGGTAGCTGTGGCTGTTTGGACACACATCTGTTTGCTACCGGCTGAAACAGAGAGCTTGAGTGCATTGTGATTAGCTTTGTTTCCATCCACCTATTTTTATGGGCATTTTGGAATATTGCATAAAAAAAACGCTTACAGAAATGCCAAGATGCAGATAAATTTTGGATAAAAACATGCGCACAGCTGAGTAAGATAAACATTTTATTTGAAAAGAAACAATGCGTATGAATTTAAATGGAAACACATATACAGTATAAATTATAAAAAATGTGCACAGCAAAAAAGTCATGAGATTTTGTTTTAAGAGATCATTTCATAACAAAAATGGGTGTGATAGGACAGCATTAATGGACAAACCAGTCAACTCACCACATTGAAAAATATCTGAAATGTTGTTTTGATCATTCTAAAATGCCTTAGCCAAAGTCTGTCATCAAAGTGATTTGGTACTATTACCCTCCAGAGCTTTGTCTCGTACCTTCAAAAGCCACTGTGTGTTCTTTGTGTGTTATCATTGTCTACCAAAGTCATTTATTTATTATATAAGATTGTTAAAAAGTTCAAACTCATTCAAGGGAAGGAGGCAGGAAACCAGCAAATGTTCAGTATTTTAATAAATAAAAAACTGAAACCAAAACAAAAGCGCCAGACGTGGTCCTCTCTCATCTTCCTCTATCATCATTCCTCCATTTATATTTCCGCTCGAGACAGGTGGCGCCCGCAGGTGATGCTCATCAGTGCTCACATCACTGGCCTGGTTCCGTTCTGATGGCTCCTAGCCACGCCCTGCTTATGACAATGATAATAGGCCTCTCCTACCATGGTTGTTTCTAGAAGGGATACAGCTGCGGCTGGAAGTTAAGGAGAATTATTTATATCATTTATTAAATTACCCATTAATTGTTTTTTTTTAACATCTACACCTACCTCAACCCTAAACCAAACCCTTACAGTAATGTAAAAGAATGTTGTACAGTGTCACAATCATTTTGCTATATTGATGTGAATATCCACAGCTGTATCCCAGCTAGACATATTACCCCCTACCATAGCAAATTCCTTTTTTTTTTTGGATATTTGGTGCCGAGTGACAATTTTGTTCTCGTTGACTCATTGGATGAAACATTTGCTTTATTCGCAAATATTTTATGCGATTTTTCAGTTTTGTGCACAAGTTTATTTTGCATCTTGGGATGGAAACGTAGCTAATGGCAAAGTCTGTTGTTTTTGTTCACCAAATGCACTGAATCTGCTTAATTTAATGAGCAAATTTAATAAAGATACAAAGTTTCCTAGAATCAGATAGGGAGGAGGGCATTGGGAAACAGGAGCTAGAGCATATCATTGCATGCTTCCCAGTATTTTACATTTTGGTTTCTTTTTTTAAAAGGCAGAAATAAATAGACAGCAGGTCAGTGGGCTGCTTGGAGGAAACAGGATTGGTTGACACCCTGTTGTTTACTGTCATGCATCAAAATATTTTAGGAGATTTCCCTCAGGAGCTTGTCATGCTTGCAGCACTCTTAGTTCCTCAGTGGTTTGGTTTTGGAAATGATATCATCCACACACTGACAGTGAAGCGTGGTCGAGGGCTCTCCCCGTCCTTCTGCTGCGGTTGCTAGGAAACTGCTTGTCAAGGGTCCGTTGCTGGTATGTTAAGTTGTGTACCCATTAGCAGTCTTATTTAGCTATGGCATACCGTCTTGTCTGAGGAGATTTTGTCTAATATTTGTTAAGTTAATTAGTTAGTTGAATTACATTTTAATCAAAATCATTTTTGAAGGGTTAGTTCACTCCAAAATTCAAATTCTGTCATCAATTACTCACTGTCATGTCATTTCTAAACCCGTAAGACCTGACCTGTTATTTGAATCTCTTCATAGGACGTGTGTTCACCCAAATCTCTCACTTTCATAAGCATCCATAAAGAGATCAAAAAGTGTTCTTATTCACTTTAAATTATTGATTAGTGAAAACCTCAGAAGAATCTTAGGAGTTCTTGTTTGATGAGCTTTTGTTTGTCACGTTGATGATCAAAGTTTATGGGTCCTATCATACACCCAGCGCAATAAGGTACCAATCATGTGTATCACGATTTGTAGCTATTTTAAGACCAGCACAACCCTAATTTCTTAGTGTTTTGCGTCACGTTGTTTAAATAACAAAACCATTTGTGCCACTTTGTGGACTCATGGGTGTGCCGGTCTAAAAAGGAGGTGTGGTGAGGCGCAATGTTGGCGCGTTTCTATCTTGAGGAACTGAAATAGACTGTGCCACTGACCAACTTAAAGCTAATCTAAAGTCCAGCACAGAGAGCGTTAGTTGTGCGCCTCTGCGAGTCTAAATATGTACACATTGCTTAATACACACAGGATGTACAGCAATACACAAATATTTTTACAAATGAAAGAGAATTAAAGGTTTAAAATGTTACAAAAATTATTATTTTCTAGATAAATATAATAACCACTACCTATGCCTTTTTCAGTTTACTCATGAAAGTATGCTTTTGTATAATGTTATTAATATTAGCAGTATTATTTATTATATGCATATTTATATTTGTTTTAATAAAAACAAGTTTAGATTTGCCCACCTGTCGAGTGTTTAAGACGTAAGCATCATCATATGGGGCATAAGAATAGGACGTGTGTTTGAATATAAATCATTTTTTTTGACCACACTTTGTTATTATTGTTCATTTATTTGTTTGCTGGAAATTAGAACTGAATTTAGAAGTAGTTTTGAAACAGATCTTTGTGCTTAACAAATGAAATTAAATATGTAGTCTAATGGATGTCTTTAGTGGAGTGCGTATAACACTATTTCCTTACTCCACAAAAGTAAAGGAGTAAAGAATAAAACTAAAGGGAAAGTAAAGAGGCTGAATGGAGAAGGCTCAATTTTTATCCTCTGATTCGTTTATTGCACGTTATGCTCAAAACACACTCATAACTCATCAAGATAATAAGTACAACCCTTTTAGACCATGTACATCGGCGCAAACCATATTTTTCCATCCTTAAAACAGCAAAAGTTGATTTGGACATGTCCTTTTGCCCCCTTGCGCTTTAGACTTTGCGCCTAGATCCTTAAAATAGAGCCCTTAATGTGAATAAATGTCACATCAAATAAAAAATGTTTTTTTGGGAAATTTTAAAACCACTCAGTTGACACATGGACTTATTTTTTTATCTATTGATTGAATGTGTAAGCTTCAGAGTTTTTTACGAATACATTTTCAAAGGAGGGACAGAAATCTCAGTCATTCGTTCATTCATTTTCTTTTTGGCTTAATTCTTTTAATCTCAGTGATCTTCTTTTTTAATTTGGAACACCCTGATGAATTCTCTTTTTAGCCCGAATTACCCCTTAATGAAATAAAAATGCAGTTCACTAGGCTAAAAGCTGCTTTCTGTTTCTCTAGCTAGCCATAAGTTTTCCCATCATGTTGGCACACTTGAGTGTTGGTAATGCCTCCAAGTTTTTACAGCTCCAGTGTTGCATGGTTACAGTGTGATTATGGGATTCCCGATGTTTGGCTTTGCCCCTTGAGGTGTGCCCAGTGATGGGATTCCTCTGGAATTTTAGGATCATGACTCATAAATGAATCACAGACCTGTGATTTAAAATCATTCTCATTCTCTCTGTTTCTCCAGGCTTTGGATCAGGACCGAACTGCTTTACAGAAGGTCAAGAAATCTGTCAAAGCAATCTACAACTCGGGTCAAGGTGAGTTTTGATCCAGTAATCCAGTGCAACAGTAATGTTGTGGATATATTACAATAAGATTCCAAATTTCCATAGAGAAGGTTTTTAGGCATATTAGGCATATTTAGGCATATTAGGTGCATCTCTTAATGCTTAAAAAGTGGAAAAGACGCATGGACATTTTATCAGCTCAGTTCAGTGCTGCGTGAGAATAAGCTTATACTTTTCCCTTGACCAATCAAATACACATCCAGTAGACAGTTAGTTTTACTTTACTGTCTTTTTTAGATGACAAATATGAGAGGCTGTTTGATCAGGGCTCGATTATGTCTAATGTTTACTCTCAGGCCTCTCTTGTGGATCTGGAATAGACAAAGACATTGACATAGGCAGGGCTGGAGATTGAGAAGTGAGTGATGTGTGGATAGATAAGGCCAGGGCAATATAGCAAAAAACAAAACAAAAACATATCTTTGTATTTTTGTTGTTTTAATGCTTCCCAATCCTGTCCAATAAAATAATCTTTAAATTGATAGACATGAAAATAATAACATGCAAAAGATATAGCCCTTTTTACAGTAATTTGCTATCATGCTACCTGCTTTAATTTCATAATACAATTCTGAATACAACATATTACTGTGGATTTTACAGTTAAATCTTGTAGATTACAGGATTTTTTTACAGTGTAGGGATTTAAACCATGTATGCTATTCTACTGTGTTTGTGCAAAAAGATTTAAATCAAATTAAGTTCTAATGTTACAATTTAAAAACCAAATCAATGCTTTTCTGTTGCTGTTAAAGCAGATGTTAATATTCACCTTCAACTTTGATAGCACATTACTAGTCATTTTGCTGTTACTGATGTCATAAAAAAATTGAATGGGAATATTGCATGCAACAATTCAATGTTTTCCAGTTATGATGAAAAAGTATTGTATAAAAAAATACACGTTTGACTTAATATCGACTTACATATTACAATACAGTAATATTTTACACTGCTCACAAGTATCGGTATTGTTAAATGGCAATGAAACCCCTCCTGTCACAAAATGTGGTGAAAATCCTACATGATGGTAATAGTTTGATTAAGGTGTTTACATGTTTACATTTGGAGAGCAGCATTAACAGCAAATCTTTCAGTCCATAATATTGTAGTGATATTAACATACTGTCAATTTAGTAACAAAATAATTTTGACCAAGGTATGTATTTAAAAACTGAAAGAGTATTGCTAACGATAAGTACTAACTTTGCCATCTGAAAAAAATAAACAAAGCACATTGATCGCACACTTACCAAATCTGTAGAGACAGGACCATTGACACGAACTGGAACTTTTTTAAAAGAAGACGAGTGGCAAATCCAGATTTCACCATGTCCAGACGCAAAAAGCTCTCTCGGGTAAAAAGAAAATTCCTAACAAACTTATTTTTGTCACGTGTAAGGGACCACTGTAATCCACATGTGCGTCCATCTGCGCTCTCATAGCTGGGAAATGAAAACAAAAACTCTGTTGAGGCACATTTATGAAAACAACACATGTCTCCAAACAATTCTTCTTCTTCCACTTGGTTTAATGGCGGTTGGCAACATAGCGTGGCATCTCTCTGCCGCCTGAACATTGTAACAGGTTAAAACATTCTTTGAAGCTATCATGTTTATTCACAATAGAGTGCGCTGATTGGTTCGAACCAAGTCTTTCTCATGAATTAATGCTGAAAGTTCAAAGACGTCATATTGTACCCGCCAATACAGACATCCTGTCTCCATGCTAAAGTTTACACATTAATCTAATTGCTCTGACATAGCTTCAAATTTTCTTTCACATTGGAGAAACGAATTTGCTCGAAATAACGCAAAAACAACCAATTTTCACCTTTTAGCAAAATATATGTGTCCTAATAGTGTTTTTAGCTGCGTGGGACACATATATGACTGCCAACAGCTCACAAAATGTGTTTTGGTGTTGCGTGACTCTTTAAAGACCTGCTATATATATATATATATATATATATATATATATATATATATATATATATATATATATATATATATATATATATATATATATATATATATATGTATGTATGTGTGTGTGTGTGTTTGTATGTATTTAGAACTATGATTATTTTATTGGCAAAAATAGTAATAATAATACATTATAAATTGTATTGTTACAACAATAATGATAATAAAGAAAAGTGATTATTTGGTAAATAGACCAAAGCTGAAAAATTACATATTACATATTTTAGAAAAACTTTCGAAGCCTTGCCAACAGTCTGGAAGACTATAAAATAGCTTTTTACTTAAATTGCAATTTTAATGAGGACACTTTCAGCGCTGGCATTTTGTGGTCAAATGTAACGATTTGTATTTGTATCTTAAACAAATTAGATTTGTAAAATGAAGTAAGGGTCCAATTACAAAAATACACTGTTTTACCAGCATTAATGCTGTTTGCATTAACACAGACAACATTTTTTTCACAACAGAAGTGTCCAAAAAGATAAAAAATAAGGAATGTTTTTCTCTTAAAAATAGTGCTAACTATAAAATTGCCATCATCATTTTTTCACATATAGGTATAGACAGGGCTTGACATTAACTTTTTTGATCACCAGGCTCTGTGGTTAGTAGTTTTTCAACATTATTAGCCACTCACCATTTTCACTAGCCACAGTTTTGCTGTTAAGAAAATATATATTTATATGCATACATTTGACTTTGGCATGCTAAAATTAGATTTTGTAATATGTCCGCATGCCTCATCATTCATTTCACTTATGTGTGTTGTGTATGACCTTGCTCAATGAGCAAGAGCAAATGGTTTGTGGTTTACATAGTGTCACATTGCAATTAATTCTTGTTTCACAAGATTCAACACTAAGGATTTACCTCTTTCCACACCAAAAATAAACAGATAAATAAAAAATTTCTTTGCCACAATGTTAAAATAATTAAAAATTTTCAAAACATGCTAAATAAAGCATATATACATAGACTTTTTATTCAACAAAACGTTTCTTAAAAAAAAAAAGAAGACATTTTTAAAAATAATTATTGTCATGTATCTAGAACTCATAAAAGTCTGTCCTGACTAAAGGTCCCAGATCACTAGTTCACTATACAGAAATGGGAAGTTAATCTCCTATTAAGGCAATGCTATTGTAAAAGATGATAATTAAACCATTAATAAAAAATAACTAAAAAAAGCAGATGAAAAACACACTGTGTGTGGAAATGAAAGAATGATTACGTGCACATGGTTACCGTTAGCCCTATTAATAATCTGTTCAAAGAATGATTAAAACGAAAGTGGCAACGTCTGCTGCTTACACAAACACGTTTTTTAAAAGAATCTCAAACTCTTGAAAGCAAGCATCGCATTTTGTTTAGTCTATTTCAAAGGGAACCAATCACATCAGTTGCATTTCCAGGCACGGTTGCTTCATGCAAGGAAACAGGAGCGTGCAAGCAGTTAAACACTCACGCATCACATCAGCTGTGTGGGCAACACCTAAACCCTCGTCAGTGAGTGAGAGTCTCTTGTGCGTCATCTTCTCTCGTTCTGTAAATACCTGCTTTCTTTTGCTTACGCGAACAGTTGTTTTTGTCAGTCGTGCTGCTTCTTGATGGGCATCCTTATCCTAATCGAACTTTGCTTTTAAGAAAACTCCAATTTAAAAATTATTTTCAACCGCCAAAGTGGCTAGTGGGTGTGGTTGTCTAACCTGCCACAGCTGTAATCTACCCGCATTTGGCAGGTTGGGGGGTGTTAATGTCAAGCCCTGAGTATAGATATTAAAAACTAAAACAAATAAATATACTAGCACTGGCATTGTTATCAACCAATAGTCAGAATCTGGTTATCAAACCACTTTTTCTTTAAAAACTGTATCAGAGCATGTCCACCCACTACATGATCTGACTAGGACAGCATGTGGTGAGTCCGTATGGCGTGCGGAATGGGTCAATAACTTGACGCTGCAACGTGCACTCGTCTCACTGAACGTCTCACTGAACGTCTCACTGACGTCTTAAAAAATATTTTTTTTTGCTATTAAATCCATGCAATTTAAGACGCAGACGTGACGTAGACGTCACGTTGACGTCACGTAGACGTCACGTAAATCACGTGTGGCAGTGAAGTGTCAAGCCAGACGTTACGCGTGATTCACGTGTAGCAGTGAAGTTATTTATTTATTTTTTTGCTAACACGTATCATAACACGCTGCTCACACGGCTCAGTGCAGTGTGTGAGGCAGTGCACAATTTTCTTGCCCTTCATACATTCCTCTCAATGGACGTGACATCAACGTCTGACTTGTTACATGACGTCTGCGTCTACCTTTTTTTTAAAATATATATATTTGAGCAGTTTTTAGTGCGTCTGTCTGCTTTTTGCCGGCTAACTTATACAATATACAATAATTATGTGCAAATTATATATAAATATGTTAATATATAATGATATTTGTTTTCAAGATAGCATTAAAACGTATAAAAAATGTATAACAAAAATAACAAATGTCTCCGGAGGTAAAGTTTAGGTTGTTTATTAATATATTCATGTTGTTTAGTTTTGTAAAATCCTTTTTTAATTTGTTTTACATTTAAGTCTTATTGTGTTTTAATTTTTTACATGTTTAATGTAGCCTACAGCATATCAGTGATGACCAACTCATCGACCACTATCGACTGTTAGATCTGATACTTTTGCTGTAAAATATTAGAAAAATAGAAAATTACATTAACCATTATTGTGTTGTTTTTAAAGCACCTTTCTTCTTTATTTTACGTTTAAAACAATATTATGATTCTTTGACAAATAAAAAAAACATAACATAATTTATTTTTCATTTGTTTCCTTTCTTTTTTGAAAGAAAATTAATATTTTTATTCAGCAATAATGTTACATTGATAGTATTTATATTTTGAATAATAATTTGCCAGGATTCAATCAATCAATCCTGTAAAAATATCATAGAAAAACATTTAACAGCACAACTT